CCACTACTACCACTACTACCACTACTACCACTACTACCACTACTACCACTACCACTACCACTACCACTACTACTACTACTACTACTACTACTACTATTACTACTACTGGCAAATTTTCTGCATTGCACCAGCGTGTGTAGACCGATGCCTAACCGATGCCCTATCCGATGCCGCGGAGTGACTTCCAGACACCCGATCAAGGGACATGCCCACTTGATAGCAGATTTTAGGGTGCAAATGACATGCCCAAGAGAAAGGAACTAGCAGCTGCGTATGTGAGGTACTTGAACTTGTGAACAAGTTGTTTGCTCTGCTGTGCGTTGCTTCGCCAGGTCCATGACTATACTTTTGCTTGGAAACATACCGTATGTGAGTGAAATTCACCACACATTGGAAACCGATGAGGAAAACCCAAGCCCGATGCCCTGTCTTAATGACCGCTCCCAGATGTAGGGAATTTTGGACCGACCTCATTTGTTGACATGTTCACTTATCACACTATCCATGGCCAAAGCCGATTTCTCAGAACTAAGCAACGGTTTGGCTGCTCATGCTGCCATGGGTACCCGTCAATGCCCACGGTGTCGACGATTTCTGAGCAGGCGGAGATTCCCGGCATGGAGTTCGCGGGGATGCAGGCGGGTGCAAATCGGAGCGTTTTGCGTGGAGTGGAGACAGGGTGTAAGATCAACATGTGTTTGTGATGTTAAAATAAGTTAATCCTCTTTCAGGCTTTCCATTAGTAAATTTGTACTAGTACTAGCAACTTCCAATGAAGTAAATTCCAATCTTGCCAGTATTCCTAGCCCTGTGAGAGTTCATTTAATTTCTTCTTCGTTAGTCAGTCACCAGACCCATCTTTCATCACGCGGCTTCACTGAGGACCCACTCCCTTTGCCGCAGATGCCGCAGCGGACATTGCCCTCGGCGTTCGCGCAGTCGCGGAAGGTGTTGGAGGAGCGCGGAGTAAAGTTGACTTTGAATGGACTCATACCAGTGGGTTTATCCACGGAGGCCTGCGTTGCCTGCGTTTTTGTGCCGTAATCGACTAAATGTTGTTTGGGAAGAGGTGTGTTGTAGTTGATGCGTCAAGTTGAGAGCGTTGGTTTTACCTTTTTTTGAAGTTCACTTGTGAGAGTGCTGTTTGTTCGTTCGTTCGTAAGTTTATAGTGAGCGAGAGCAGGTAGACTCTGACCTTGGAAACTACAAGACTTTGTGGACAGCAGCATGTCCAGTTGTGTATATGGTTCTTCCCCAGCAAACATGGAAGCGTTCAGCTGTACAGACGGTAACCTGCAAGCAGGCATGTCACCGCCATAAAGACATCAACCAAGAAGGCAATCTGTGGTATCAGCAAAGGACGGTTTTCTGTACTGCTGCGCTGTAAAGACAAGCAGGCATGCTTCGTACAAGCAACTGCGAACGCACCGTGACCAACGGACTCAACGAAAAGGCCATGTGTGGTGGGGCCCTTTTCAATCGTTTTGTCAAGAGTTTCGGGGAAGAAAAAGAGCACCAGCCAAGGAGCGCTATCTTCGGGGTCTATATAGCCGGGTCTCCCCAAGCAGCTGTAACCAGTAACCAAAGAAATACAGTGAAATACTATGCTTGCTCTGCTGTAAAGACAATCTACCTCGGCAAGCGCAGCCTAGTACATACAAAAGCCGCCTAGACGGCATTCTGCAAGCCGGCGCATGACGTGCTTGCAGCGGAGAAGTTTTGCGTATAGCGAGATGCAAGAAGGGGCGCACGAAGGTTCTCCTTCGAGGGCTGGCTTTCTTCCCCTCCCTTCTCAGGTATCCTTATTTGATATCAAGATTTGTCAACATGTTCACTCATCACACTTTTATCCATTGCCATATCCGATATACTCAAAGCTACCCAACGGTTCGGCTGCTTACGCTGGCGTGGGTACCTGTCCGTGCCCACGGTGTCGACGTTTTCTTCGAACGTGAAGAGCAGGAGACTCCGCGCCCAGAGTTGGCAGGGATGCAGGCGGGTTTCTCGCAAATCGACCCGTTTTGTGCGGCCTGCGAAGGCAGGCGGTAAGACGACGCCAGCCCACCAGGGTGGCAAGATCTTTTGACTGAATCACAATGAAGTCTAGAAGTGCACATGGTTCCTGAACATGTTTGTGATGCTGTTAATCCTCTTTCAGGCTTTCCAATGGTAAAATTGTAGCAGCAACTTCCAATGAAGTAAATTCCAATCTTGCCAGTGTTCCTAGCCCCTGTGAGAGTTCATTTCTTCTTCGCTAGTCATCAGACCCATTTGTCATCACGCGGTTTCACTGAGGACCCACTCTTTTGGCGGCAAACGCCACAGCGGACATTGCCCTCGGCGTTCGCGCAGTCGCGCAAGGTGTTGGAGGAGCGCGGAGTAAAGTTGACTTTGAATGGACTCATACCAGTGCAGTGGGTTTATCCACTGGAGGCCTGCGTTTTTGTGCCGTAATCGACTAAATGTTGTTTGGGAAGAGGTGTGTTGTAGTTGATGCGTCAAGTTGAGAGCGTTGGTTTTTCATTGTTTCTCTTCATGTTCACTTGCGAGAGTCCAGAGTGTTATTTGTTCATTCGTAAGTTTATAGTGAGCTTGAGCCGGTAGACTCTGACTTTGGAAATTACAAGACTTTGTCGGCAGTGTTGTTACTGACCACATGTACCAACGCCAGAACAGGGTACATTTTTAAAGTCATTTGATCCGTAGTGGATATCATGTTTTGTCAACATGTTCACTAGTATCCATGGCCACATCCGATAGTCAAAAATACACAACGGTTCGGCTGCTTACGCTGGCGTGGGTACCTGTCCGTGCCCACGGTGACGATGTTTTCTTCGAACGTGAAGAGCAGGAGATTCCGCGCCCAGAGTTGGCAGGGATGCAGGCGTGGGACGGGAGAATTTTCTTTCAATTGTACTGGTACCGTGGCTTCGTGCGATTGGATTTGTATCGAGCTTCTCCTCCCTCCTCGTCATTTGGCTACTGCTGCTGCATGCTTTTGCTGCTTTGGTGTGACAGGATTCGTATTGAGCTTCTCAGCTGCTGCTGTTGCTGCTCCTGCTCTTCAAATCCCACGGATATCTCTCTTCTCTCTCTCTCTCTCTCTTTTTCTCTTCTCTCTTCTCTTCTCTCTGCTTTTCTCTTCTCTCTTCTCTTCTGTCTTCTTCTCTTGTCTCTTCTTCTCTTCTCTCTTCTTCTCTTCTCTCTTCTCTCTTCTTCTCTCTTCTCTCTTCTTCTCTTCCTTCTCTTCCTTCTCTTCCTTCTCTTCTCTCTCTTCTCTCTCTTCTCTCTCTTCTCTCTCTTCTCTTCTCTTCTCTTCTCTTCTCCTCTCGTCTCGTCTCTTCTCTTCTCTTCTCATCTCCTCTCGTCTCGTCTCGTCTCGTCTCGTCTCTTCTCTTCTCTTCTCTTCTCTTTTCTTCTCTTCTCTTCTCTTCTCTTCTCTTCTCTTCTCTTCTCTTCTC